TTTGGGCAACAGCCTCGAACCCGTGAATCACTTCAAGACTTCAAGACTTCAAGACATGTGTAGATGTGCCAAATGTTTAGGATGCCTTTCCTTTTTTACTGGTACACGCATGGAATACTCACGTCTAATAAATCACTAGCCAACTTGGTGAGATGAGATTTTATTTCTTATTTTTATTTCAGCAGTGCTGGTGCCTACGTTGTGAGCATACCATCGAAGGAATTCTGGACGCTCGATTGGCTATGGCCGTATTCAGTCCTGTGCAACCTGACCTGACCTGACCTGAACCTGTGAAAGATTCTACTTGGCGCTCTGTGAACGGAGTTACGTGCTATGTTTCCACTGCGAGATTGCAACCGCACGCGCGGCCACAGGCTCACACCCCGGTAGCTTGAATTGACGGGGCTTCCTCTGGTCTATCGCCTTTCTAGGAGGGCGACGTCTCTCGGGAATTCACTCCCGTCGGAGGTGATGGAGGAGCAGAACGAGGCGCGTTTCAAACGCCGTTTCGAGGAGCACTTGGTGGGACGATGGCAGCTTGCAGACCACTGAGTGAGTCGCTATCAGTACTGGCGGTGAAGAGGCTCATACGAGGCGTGGCTTCTCTGCCTTCTCAACACGACGATGAAGACAAACCTAAGTTGTTTAAATATCCCATGTCAAGGATACTTGCTAAATAAAATGTGTGCGCGTAAAGAAAGTCATAGATACAAGGTGTTTGCTCGTCTGACATAAGTTTCAAAATAATTTTTGGTAAAAATCGTCGGAACCTTGGCTTTCGCAATATTACCTAATAAATGAATGAGAATGACCATTTATGTGTCTGATTTCAACAATAATATGTACACTAACGATGCCGAAGTAAGTCTAATTTCTTGGTTATTCCGCCGCATTTGCCAAGGATTACGTCCACAAGGTGTGCGCTTCAGAAAAAGCAGACTACAGTGAAAACTTTGATTCAGATTCAGAAGTCCTTGCTCAGTTTGGGAAGTCAAAACAGGATAGCTGTTCCTCCTCTGTCCGGGATCGGAAAGTTGAAGGAGGTAAGCCTCTGACATGTAGAAATCTAATTGTAATAAAACTCTTATTACAATTTTGGGTAGAAATAGTACGGAAGTAGACAAATAATTGCAATTTTCTCTAGTCGCATGAAATATTTCTCTGAAGTTTCGACTTTGATCTGGTACCCCATCCAACACCAGTATCTTCCTGACAGTTCTCTAGGCTTCTCCTTTGTGTACCGATGTAAGTCACTAAGGTATATCCTCTTTGAAAGCGTTTAGGGTATACTCCATAATGAGGCGAGCATCTATTGGAACGTCCCCGGGGACTCTAGTTCTAAGGTATAAGGGGACACCCACGGTATACTTAAAAACAACCCCTGCGTATTTCCATTACTTCGCGCGTGATGTAAGAATGGGCCGGTATATTATTAATTTGTTAATCTGTAATTAAATGCATTCATAAAATATCACTCTCAGTGTTTTTTGCAATCTCAGCTTTAATTATATTTAAGTTAGATGACTCGATAACACTCAAAAAACGGTCAAACTAATTCCATCTACTCACTGCTATTGCGCTTGGTCGACACTCATTTTCCCAGCTTTTGGTGAAGTTAAAATGAAAATGTCGATAAATGGTATATTTATTATAAATTAAAAGTGAAAATAGTGAACACAAATAATTGGTTTCTTTCTTCTGTTGGTTTCTGGGTTTTGTTGTTTGTCATCTTTAAATAAAAATGTTGAAAGTGGTAACAAATAATACACTGGAATTTTCATGTCATGTATTACATAGCAATGATATTTTCCGATTTATTCTCACTTGTAAATGACCAATGGATTACCAACGAGTGTGTGTCGGTGATATCTGATCATGGACGACTCCGTTGTATCCATCGCTGAATTTCGCTAGCGATAAATTGACGGCTTGTATCCGGATACCCCTTTTGCATTACCGCATCTGTATATTATATTAGTTAAGATGGAATATCCCATTTTAGACCACTCACCGATAATTACTTTGCAAGAAAGGGGTGTCCATCAGGGTAATTTTCCGTTGACCCCACGCCAGTTATTGCCATACAACAAGATGTCTTTAGTGATTAGGTGGTTGCTGATGTTTGTCACTAATGTTTACTCATGTTCGCTCTGGATATCCTTCCCAAGAGGAAACATAACCAAAGATTGTGTATTCTGAAACTTCCAAAATGTTGGAAGTAAGTTTGGCTATGTCTGGGCCGTTATTTTTCGCAAGGGTAGTGGAAACCTGAAAGTAGTTCTGATCAATGCAACGAAAGCGTGCGATACAGAGATCATCGTGGAGAATTGTGCCGGTGCGTTTTTGCGCTAAATAAAATCACGATAATGGGTAAAGCCCAAACTTACTCCTGGAAATGTCCAAGATGCTATATTTCCTTGGAAGATAGCTATCGATAAATAATGGCGATAAATGTTAAATCTTGGCGGTACACGTGATTGTGTTTGGTGGAGAAGAGTCATTAATATAAAGGGAAAGCATAATTGTAGCTTAGCTACTTGATCGAGAGACTAAATCACAACTTGACATTTAAAGCTTGATGGTTTTGATAAGTATGCCATGGTTATTTAACTATGTCCTGATAGTCCTCAATTAGGCATGATTGGTTGGAAACTGAACCTGTCCTGCTGCTAGTCACCGCGTGGGGTGAAGGTGCTTCTGGTACATGGTTTGATGATCGCGTCCAGCTTCAATGAATCTATCAGGAAAGTTACAGAAGAGAATCAGGCAAGAAGAGATAACTGCCTTTGCGAAACTGTTGGTTGAAGAACCGCTACAATTCTGCAAAAATGGTTGCGCAAAACTGCCCTGGTGCAGTCTCCTGAGGATCTTCCAGTGAACCTTCTTAGACATTGTAGTTGTTTATTTTCTGATTAAATAACGACATATAACTGACCACGTTGCCGTACACCAATCTATCTTATAATAGTTTCCTTACGGTATTGTATCCCTCAATACAGACTTTTGGTTTTCATTATAATTAACCAACAAGTTGCGAAGTTTTTGAATTCCGTCGACTTGCTCGTCGCTTCAGTTTTGCTTTGGCTGGTAGGAGGCATTCTATCAAAAGTTTTATTACGTCAGAAATTTTTATATTACTTTTTCCTTGGTGGAATGTAATTCCAATAATGGACTGGTCAAGACGCACCTGAATGTGTAAAACATCATGATCATATACTTACTTACTTGCCGATGCACGGGTTTGTAACACTGTTACCGGCTCTTCCGGAGAAAATAAATGTCTAGTCACGACTAGTTCCAGTTTCGAAGGCGGTGATAGGTCTAAATCCGCAATAGCGCTACTTTTGTTGGGCAATTTCTCGGTTTCGCTGGAAGCACTACTGACCCTGCCTTTCTTCTTGAAAATTGTGAACTACTTTACGAGAAACTTGCGGTTGCCTTTTACCGCATGTTTTCATGTGAACCCTTGCATCCTTAGACAGCAGCTCGGTTTCTTCTTGCAGAATGGCTTGTAAACGCTCAGCCTCCATATATATTGTTCATCCAGGTAGAATAAAGTCTATTTACTTACGCATTATCCTGTGTATTAAATAATTTATAACTGTTTGCGTTGGCTAGAGGAGGTGCATGTTGGATCACCATCCTATCCAATTTGGCAGATGACGTTCGAATCCATTTCACCTTGTTGCTTTTATCGACCCAGATCGAAGTTACAACGGCAACTGCTCTCTCATCCAAAAATTCAACAACGACAAACATCTGAAAACCAAATATTATGAGATTCGATCAATATGACTATAAAATAAATGCATCCAATAGAAAACATTCTTACCTCTATGTAAGTCAAGTACGAATGATTGGATAGAAAACCAAATAATCACCAAAGGAAATCAACATCCCCTTGTATTGGATGTCTTTGACCTGTACAAATCTTCTTCTTCTTCCTCTTTTAGAGACAGTGGTCATAGTCCCATATGAGTCTCCTCGTTGAAGCTCGGTTGCATGACCTAGATGTGCGTGTCCTGCCACCACCTCCACAGAAAGTCATGTAACCGACGGTTGAATGTTTGGTCAGTATTCTCCTTCACGTCTTCCGTTAGCATATTCCACATATTGGTCCCCCGTCGGGATAGACGGTAAACAAACGGTGATCCTATCGTGTGCTGTTTCGCTAGGGTTATTGCGTGTCCCCTCGTACGGTTGTGCTCTCAAAGCGGAGGCATCGCCTGCAGTTCGCAGCCCAGGTCTCCGCGGATGATGTGTCCCGTCTAGATTAAATCGATTCTCATCCGCCTGTAAGCTAATAGAAACAATCCCGTAGCTTGCAGGCGTCCTTCATAGTTGACCCCACGCAGCCCGGCAACGAGGCGTGTGGCACTGCGTTGTACTCGTTCCAGCTTCTGTGTTTCTGCCTTCGTGCATGGAAACGACACAGAGCTGCCGTAATCCAATCTCAGGCGCAAATGTGAGGCGTATAGAACTTTCAATGCACTCATGGAAAGTCCACCAAAAGATCGCCTTATGGCTTCCAGTATTCGCCAAGCTGACGCACACACCCTGTCGAGATGGCTACCAGTCCTTAGGTTGAAATTCACGATTACCCCCAAATCCTTTTCGCAAGTGGATGAACGAAGAGAGTTGCCGTGTATGGTGTACTCCAAGGTGCCCCCGCATATGCGCGTATGGCAGAGACCATCTTGCGGACCAACATACCAGAGCTATTGAGTCTTCCTGTAGAGCACGGACGTTGTCATCCAAGGTCACCGCCCGCTACAGCTTGAGATCAGCAGTGTGTTGAATTTCACAGCATCGGAAAATACTGACGTCCGACGACGGCAAGGGTTTTATGAATAGGTTTGCCAAAGCTTTTAACGAAGAAATCCACAAATTTCTGTCGGATATCTATTATATTACGACGAACTGTTGTTGACGAAGACTACCTTATCAGATGCTCTTTCGGTGCAAACAGCCCCATCGAGCACAGTTCTGTTTTACATACTGCGGTAAACGTCAACTTCTTTGGCTCTTGGTGTCGTCCGGCAGTGTTATTGGGGTGTAAAAAGTTGCATCTGCAGCCCGTTCAGACGACTGATGAAATACTTATTCGACAAGCGCGCTCTTAGAAGTAATCGATCAACATAATAATTGCATAAATGATTCGTACGGGAATGCTGAAACCCATCTAACAGACCAAAACATCGAACATTACTAGGTAAATGGATCCAACTGTGTACGTTGGAAACTGCCCCTTCTGCACCATACAATCAAATTGTAGTGTTGTAGAACCTTTATTGAGCTTTTTCTGGAGGAAATTGAGGTATTGATTACACAACTTTGAGTTGCTCATCAGGTATGTCAATACGGAGAAGTGCATGAAGTTGGTGTACATATTATCCGGCAAAAAGTCAAATAGAAAAACAGGAACAAGATATAGTAAGCATCACCAAAACTCCGTGACCTTCCTTCCGTAACTTAAAATCGCACATAGGATGGCAAGCCCCTTGAAAATCACACGGAATCTTATCTCTTAAGTCCAGCATACGCTGATTCACAAGGTTATACAGTGGATCGGCAATGATACCACAGTTCCGCACACCACCCCGTCACGAAAGAGTAATTATTTTTTCACTACACCTAAACAGATACCATGCATGTAACCAACTGGGAATAAGACAACCATATCCACATGTAATGTCTCAAAGGGTGATTCCTCAACATGGTGCGTATCTTGCTTTCTGGACCGGAAATCGACGTCCGTTCGAAGTCGAGCGGTTGTCTGCTGTATCACCTCTGGAAGTACAAAAGCAAAAACTGAAAAAGCCACTGTGTTACTGTCACGTAATGACAGTAACATGTTACTGTATTAGTATCAGAAAATTTTTTCCACTTCTTGGTTATTGCCTACATGAAATGGAGTCCACAGTTTTCAACGCAGTATACATACATATATATAAATACCTATTTGTCATATATCAGGAATATTTATAATGTCATATATGTATAACCGATAACTTGAATATAAACATATATGGTGCGTTGAAAA